CTACCCACAGGAACACAGAAAAACCCCACCAAAATATAAGCTGGTGAGTATTCCCACTATGACCAGCAGAGGGTGCTGAAGAGAAAGAACCTATGCATGTCATAACAGTCCTGTTGCTCCTCTCCAACGCTTCAGTGACTGGAACACAAATGAAGAGTGATGTAACATCATGCAAGGCCATTGTTTCACCTGCCTCCATAATGTCATCTCTCACCTTCTCAGCAAGGTCCAAGGTGTTCTGGATGTGGTGTTCAGAGCTGTCTACCAACAGGTTGAAGATTGAAGCCAGAAACTTTGAGATGCTATAAGTGACCAAGTTATCATACAGACAATTGCTCTTAACCCTATTTGTGTAAACCATTCAGATTAGGTGTAGATTCGCCTGGGTATAGCCTGTGATATGAGGTCTGGTCAATAGCATTGTCCTGTTCTAACTAATTGTACTAACTGACCTCCCAGCCCATTTTTCATTCAGTGGGCTGGTTTCAGTTATTGTGCAAATGTACTGTTTATAAGGTTGGGTATAAGTCACTTCGATGACTAATGAAACATTTCTCCCATTGAAAACATTATGTTCAGATGAACAGAATCAACCTTCTGGGATAGTCTGTACAGACTTTTCCACATCTATAGTGTTTTGATGCATCCTATAATAGAAAGCATACATGCTATGGAAAGTTGTTGTTTTTTTTGTTTTGTTTTTTTTAGCTTTCAGCATTTCAGGGTTAAGATCTAGAGTTAAACTGGGCTATTGCAGCAAATTTGCTGGAATGCCATGGCATGTGGCATGCTTCATGTTACATATTATCACAATAAAATTGAACAATTTAAAAATTAATTAGACAATTTTCTTTTATTAATTTACAGTGCTGTGCATGCAGCAAATACCTTAAGAGGCAATAGGTTTTGATTATTATTTGTTACAGACATATCAGGGTAGGAATATACAAATGTAAAATAACAGGATACAGGATATACGCTGGGTCTCTTTGGCAATAACTATGGCAGTTAAATTCTGAACACGCAAAAACTTTTTCAGAACTTTCAAAACTAGACTTCAGCGTTGAGTCTCTTGAGTTCTCCATCTATCATTGATGTGGA